GAGCTAGGTGGTCTCTGACGGGGGAGCGCTGAGGGTCGCTGAACCTGCCCTTGAACCCCGTCCTCCGCTAAACCCCAGGAGAAGGGACGTGGAGGAACTACGGCCCCAGGAAAGCCTCGCGCCCTGCGGTCTCGCCGTTTTGCCAGAGGTTACGCGAGAGGGGGAAGCGCAGGAGGATGCCCTCTCTTCCCGGAGCCCTCCGCCAGCTCTCCTCTTGCGGGACAGGGAATAGCCCTCCCGGGTCAGCACGCAGGAGCACGCAGAGGCACTACTAGCACAGCCCGTGTCGGGTGCCGCGGGAATCCCCCCGGCAGCAGCGGTGCTGCCGCAGCTCTCCGCTCTCTCGGAGAGCCGGCCCCGCGCTGCTGCGCGGAAAAGCTAAGGCTAGGGGAGTTTTGTCTTACAGGACTCCCTCCACTACAGTACTCGGAGAAGGTGATGATCAAAAGTCTTAGAAGTTCCCATTTTTAATCCGGGAGAGGGAGGGCAAGAGATTAAGCATCAATCTGTTCCCCCTAGGAAGCAAGCATCTTGTTCCAGAGTCACTTGTGACTCTTATCACACTAGGAACCTGCTACCCATAAAAGAGGAGCGAGCACTAACAACCTCACCCCGGAAAGGGGATGCCCAGTTTGAGACTAGTAACATTCTTTTGAAAAAGACTCTTAGAAATGGTAACATCAAGTAACAGTTAAATGTACTTTAATTCCTTCAAACTGAAGGAGATCTTGAAGGTACAGCAGAAAAATTATTTCATTGATTTCAGTCTCTTTTAAAAAAAAAAAAAAAAGCATGGCTTAAAAATTCAGGAACAGTATCCAATAAACAAAGTACTATCATTATGCACCTGGTTTAGCCTGTGGTACAAAGAGAAGCTTACAGACTCAAAGGAATGGCATGAATGACTGAGAAACCGATTCAGATTCAAGTACTTGTTTACAGGGACAAAAACTATGTTGACAAGTATGAAAAAGCACACAGATAATCCGTTTAAAAAAACCAGACCTTTCTAACTGTATTTACATACACACGGATGCATTTGCTTTCCTTTGGCACTAGAAATTACAGACAAAAGATTCCATTTTATAGCAATTAAACTTCAAACTCCAAATAAAAACGCCTTTGAGTCATTTAAGTCATACAGCCCCAGCACAGTAGCTTCACCTTTATTAAACAGCCACCAACTCGATGTTCTAACCCTGGAAATTCAGGCCAAAAAGCCTGAATTCAGCTTCCACCTGTGACAAATTTCACTCAGCAGGATTAACGGGGTGTGAGGAGCTCAAGCAGCCATGGGGAATTAATGAGATACAGGCATGTTTAATAAGAATGAACGGCTCATTCTTATCCAAGGTGGATGTCTACCTTTAAATGCTCTCTAAATGCATATACAAATTCAATCAAGGAAAAATGGACACCCGTTACACATAATCAGCCAACTTAGACATGAAGTGAACAGTCAGAGCACATGATGGCCATCTGTAGTACTTGTTCAGCGTTACAGAGAAATGTGTGAATCCTTACTCATTTCCATTGCTAGGAAAAAAAAAATAAGATTACACTTAACAATTACGGTCTATTCTTTTAGCACGTTAGTTTACCCTTCAGCTGCTGCCAGAGGTAAACCCTTAACTTTCAAAGGAAAGTCAGTATTATCAGTACAGTAGCAAGTGTTTTGGCACCCTGTAAAAACCCTGAAGAATACGCAAGAAAAATCTCAAAAGTAGCATTTAATTTATCCAGACTTCTCATTTCTTGTTCATGGTATTTGACTTTACAGAACCTGAAGCTTTGATGACTTTCAGTTTTTATAGCTTTTCTGCTAGTAACCAACAGGGTTGTAACAATGTTTTTCCTAAAGCATTAAAGACTAGGAAAAGATTTTTTTCCTTGAACAACTACAATCATTTAGGACTACATCAAAAAATAAGTAACTAGGCATCATGGCAAATGATAGCACATCGACCCTCCACCACAACAAGCAGCGGTTTGCAATTGTACAACAAAAAGGAATCAAAAAGAATCTAAAATTTATAGTCTTCATAGGTTTTGTTCCTTCTCTCTCTAGATGGCAAGAAACCATTACTAATTAACATTTTACTTCACAAGCAGGATCAGGGCGGGAGCTTTTGTTGAGATTAAGTAAATGGTTGTCTTATTTTTGCATTGAATCACATGAAGACTGGATGTTGCATTGTCTCTGATAACTGGATTGAATCCAAACTGGAACAGACACTTACGGAATGTTTACCCCCACACGTTATTTGGGCATGTCTCAGAGATTAATCTTATTCTGGTAAGTGTATTCTTAAGCATAAAAAAAAAAAAAAAGATGAATTTGACTATAGCAAATTCAGCGAGGAAAAGGAATCAGAGAATATAACAGCAAGTCTTCCCAGAAGACAGTCTTTTCTACACATCCAAAGAGAACTAGCTGTTTGAATTTCAGATTAGCTGATACCACTTTTTTTTTTTAATATTTCAAAAGCACAGCATGTTAAAACAACTTCCATTACACTGTGGAATACCAACACCAACAACCTCTACGTGAAATTATTACAAGCTACTCAAACGCAGTCTCAAAGTGAAAAAGAGTATCTTAAGCATATATACACGCTGCTACCAAGGAAAAACGCAGTTAAGTAGCAACTTTTTATACATGAGCTTCCCTAAGAACCTTGCTCTTTGAAGTAGCCCAGAACTTAGCTTGCACTTAAGATTTATTTTCAACTGAAAAAGACTTACAAAAGCACCCAAATCTGACTGTAAGACTCCTTGGTCTTCTTATTGAGCTTGCATGATTAGTTTCATGCAAACTGATTTACTGGAGATACAGTACTGCAAGTTACCTCTTTAAAAAAATCTTAATAATCAAGTGATTTTTTGCTTTTTGCTAAACATGTCTTCACACAAGGCATATGCACGTACAGGCCTGTCTCACAGAGCTGAGTAATTCAAGAAACAGTGTGCAGTAACTACCAAATGAAATATTTTACAAGTACTGAAACAGTGGAAACTAGGTGAATTGATTATCAGTTCAGGCAACTACAAGGTTGCATTGCACTACATAAATACTGACCAAATGCCCCCAAAAATGCCAAGAAACTACAAGCAAGTTGAAAACAAAATGTTAAAACTCTCTCTTTCAGTGAAGACCAACCAGTCCCTTTGTGTACACATTTAGTTTTATTGTAACAAAGCAACTTGTACACTTTAACGTTTAAAACTGAGCATCTTTCTTTCCTTTCCAGTGAAACAAAAAAAAAAAACCAAAACCAAAAAGGAATTTAAAAATAAACAAGAACAAAATTACAATAGAGAATGTCAATTCCAAATAAGATCCTACAGGTTCTGCTGATTCTCCATCAAGTGGCAGGGCTCAAAGTCATCATTAGGAGAAGATTTTATTTTAAAAGTGTCATCTTAAACTGCAAGGATGTTTGTTAAACATCACAATTAAACATGCCAAAGGAGAAGAAGCCATGTTGTCAAAATGCCCACTTAACCCACCCAAACATCTGAAACCCACCCCGGCTGACCTTCTATAACCCCATTTATTTTTTTTATTTTTATTTTTTTTTAGCTTTTTCTTTTTTTTTAAACAAGAGAAAGTAGACAGATACATGTTGGTAAATGCTAACTGTCCATATTCACATAGAGACACAGTGTAATCTCTGAGCCCAATATACAGAGAAAGAAGGAAAAAAGCTAGATTCTATGCACTACTACACAGGGGCCTAGCACTCTTCAGCTTCCAGCAGAGTGAAGGGAGCAGAAGGTTTTCTTTTTTCCCACAGAACATGGTGTGTTGATTCCATAAACAGTTTTTGTTTTGAGACAGGGATAAAAATGAACTTGAAACAGAAACCGGTAGATTCTTTCCCACTGTATTCTGCTCAAGGTATTTCCCCCAAAATAAATCGTGAGCCATGGTGTAGAGGAGAGAAAAAGAGACCTCAAGAGAACAAGGCGACTGAGCACAAGAAAAAAAAGACAGCAACTTGCTCCCAGGGACTGGAGAAAAATTAAAAAGGTAAAAAGGGGGTTTGGAATCCATCAGTGTTCAATTAGTCATCTTCTCCTTCATCCTCCTGTTGAAAGATAAGCAACAATTACAAGAAAATCTAATCACTGAAGTTCAGATAGCACCACCTTTCAAATGGAATCGCCAGAATGTTTTACTGCCCTGCAGCGTTCCTCAGAGTCCCTCCCCCCCCCCCGCCGGAGCAGTACCCCCTGCCATGAGTACCTATCCACATCAGTTAATAGCTGGGTGTCCCAATGAAAAACCACCAGGTTTGGAACACCACTGTGACTTCAGATCACTGACTCAGAACACAGACATCAGAAAGTGAAGTGGTCATCTTTTCCCCCCTGGTTTTATAGTGGAGAGCAAAATGCTTCAACATTCAGACGCTAAATTGGAGCAGTACCCCCTGCCATGAGTACCTATCCACATCAGTTAATAGCTGGGTGTCCCAATGAAAAACCACCAGGTTTGGAACACCACTGTGACTTCAGATCACTGACTCAGAACACAGACATCAGAAAGTGAAGTGGTCATCTTTTCCCCCCTGGTTTTATAGTGGAGAGCAAAATGCTTCAACATTCAGACGCTAAATTCTAGGTTACGTAACAGAGCCCAGGACACTGGTGCCCACAACAGCCCTCCTACCTCAACACGCATCGTTTATTGCCCACAACGGCCCTCCTACTTCAACACACACCGTGTGTTTCTGCTGAAATTCAGACACACCACACCCAATGACGAGAAACAAAGACATTCTAAACTTTACGTTACCAACACCCTGAATGCTGTCCCTGGAATCCCGGTTACTAGTGAAGGAAACTTCTAATTCCTGAACCCAACAGAGAGCCTTAGCCAAGCTGGTCATAAGCAGAAATAAACCAACAGGTGGGAGGATGACAGAACTGGATGAATCAACAAAGCTATTTACAAGTAAAGTGTTGCTAGAACGTTCACTAATTAAGTAAGAATTTTGTTATGCTAATATCCTAGTTCTTCTAGAGCACTTCCTTTATAAATTTACTAAAACTACTGATTTGCATCGTCTGTCATACACTCAAACATACTTACTCCTACACTGAAACCTCTCTACAGGTTAAGGCAGTAACAGTTCTGCTCCTCACCTCCACCCCTTGTCAGTGATTCTACAGGCAGAACTATTTCACCTTTGTAACAATCTCTCAGCATTCTTACAAGATCCCTCTTAGAAACTTCTTTGATTCTCATACACCAGAGATGGAAGGGGTGAGATCACTCACCTCTCCTTCCTCTCCCTCATCATCATCTTCATCTTCCTCCCCCTCATCTTCATCTCCTTCTTCATCAATATCCTCCAATCCTTCTTCCTCTTCATCATCATCATCATCCTCCTCTCCCTCCCCTTCTTCATCATCCATATCAGGAACCTTAAAGACACACATGCAACATTAACTACAGTGATCTAATTCACTTTCACTTGCACAGTGCTACTGTGGGTGTGGAGCAACAACTCAGCGCTGCACTTACCAAGTAGTACTGCAAGGGATTGGGCCAGATGTCATCCTTGATGACTTCTCCTAGTTCATCAGCCCCTGCATCGGAGTGGTCAGTGAACCAGGTAAAGAAACTCTCTGGCTCTTCATGCTGCCTCTTCCTACTGGCTTTGTTCTGTGTCTGGCTGGAACGTTTTGTCAGATCCTGAAAAGAAAGTTAAGAAGTTCCCTAAAGAAGTGGTCATTAGATAGCCCCTTTTTTAAAATAAGCACCACTAAGAAACTAAACAACCACAAGTTGTCACTTGCTGCTCCCTCTTTCAGGAAGAAGTCTCTAAAAAAAAGTTTAGAACCCAAAAAAGGTATCACAGAAAAAGATACCACTCAGCCACTTGCTTTTCTCACGAACATGAGAACGGCTAAACCTTGTTTCTTTCAATGACCTCCACTGCAACACTGAAAATTCACCGGACCTTGCGTTTGGATTTATGCTTCCCTAGCACAGGGAAGCAAAAGTGCTGAATTACATACTGAACTCAAAAGATCTCACAATGGCTAAATGCTACTCATGAGACTAGCTGTAACCATAGTTAAACTACTACAGACACACAATTTAAGATAAACAATCAACACACCTCTAAGCTCTGTCTTTAACTTGAGATAAAGAACTGCCTTGCCTTCTTAACCCAAGATTTCCTGCTTTGAAGTCTTCAGGCCATTCTTTGTAGTAAGTGAAAAAAAAACCCTACACAAACTCACAAAACATACAGTCTCAAGAACATAGACAAGCCCTGTATCTACCACCTTACCCTAGAAGATTAGTAAGTTTGCAACAATCAGTCTGAAGAGAAAATTGCTATTTAATCCATTCTCTTTCCAATCGTATGGCAATTCCAAACTCCAAGTATTTGCTTTCTGGATGAAATCGCAACATTTATAGAATTAGACTGTTTAATGAAGAACATGACCAGAATTCACACTGATTTTTGTGGTATGTTGTAAAGATCACATTCAGCTCGTTTGTACTGGACTAGAGCTTCTTGTACAAGAGGAAAAGTTCTGGTTCTCAATGAAAAAAAGATTTAAGTTTTCTTCTCAACCTGAGGGTGACAAAACAAGCGGCGACTTAACTGCAACCCTGAGTTCTACTGTTAAATACTCATTTGAAAATCATCAGGATAACACCAAAGTGCTCCCAACTTTTACAGAAACTAACTACAGCAAATTAATTATGTTTAAATATTGTCTGGATGAAAGATATGGCCACATTATTTTATGGCTGCAACTTCTACAAAGATGTAGCATCTGGAAATGAAGTTGAGGAAATTTAGAGAAAGAAAAAAGAAATCACACCCCATCTGACCCCCCCTGCCGTCCTCAGAATCCCCTATTTAATAGTTATCTTCAGAAAACAACAAAACATAGAGCTTAGATCCACGCCAAAGACAGACAAGATCTCTCCATCTGGTCGTACTTTCACTGTTTTCCTGGTGATGCTCAACTGAGCAAGAGAATTCACTACACATCACCACGTGGATGGGGCATTCAAACCCCAAGATGGGCATGAACTACGCATGTAGAGGTGGCAAGGGGGTCAAGAGAGGAAGAAAAGGGTGGACAAGCAGCTTCAGTACGGAAGGAAAAACCAAAGGAACATAGTTTAAGTGATGGTGTCACACAGAGCAGCGATCATTGCCCTCAGATGCGGACACATACCTTCCCAGATTTCCATTTGATCTCAGTTGATTTTGAAGATGGGTCTCCACTTTCATTCAGGTGAAACTCTTTGGAGAGAACTTTGTTTTCAAAGTATGGATTCTCATCAAAATACTGCAGAGTTGAAAGCAAAGAGTCAGAATCCACATAGCTTAAACACATGCCAAGTCAAACCCGATCCTAAATGAGTAACTGAAGAGATTGTAACAAACTACAAGCCAATATGCAATCACATTAAGAAAACAGCAGAAAAATCACAAGTGAAGGAATTATTTAAAAAGTACTTACAAAATCTATTCTGTAACCTGATTTGATGTCTTCAAATTCTGTCACCTCAACTCTGGTCAAATAATGCAGTGCTTCCTCATCTTCTTCTCCCAGCAGTGCAGATACTAAGACAGAATTAGGAATCCCACATTAACAAAGCTATGAAATGCGTACTGTGCAGCCAAAACACAGGAAGTGATAGTAAGATTTGAAAAGCAACTAATCTGTCCAAGCCAACTTCTTGTGGACCATTTTTTTCAAGTTACCAGCCAGCAGACTAGCAGCACTAGAGTGATTTGCATTTGCTTGTTGTAGCTGAAGCTTAAAACATGGCAAAGGCTATCTGCATACATCCACCCCTCTCTGCAACAGATCTTCACCCATGTAGTGCCCAACCTAAGCTGCCTACAAACCTGTTTTGTAGAAACAGTTTAATATCAAGAGTCCTAAGGACCTCCCCTCCAATTAAAAAAAACCACCCAACCAAACTACAAGGGGGAGGGGTGTGTCCCCATTTAAAGGGCATAATTAATTGAAAAAAGGTGGAAACTCATTTAAAATGAAGAAAGAAGACCTTCGTGGGATATTAGTGAACAAGATGTTCCTTTGGTCAACAAGTGCAAGAAATAAAAAGCTTATAAAATGCGCTCTAGGACAAAAAGGAAGTGTTTGCATATGAGGCTGGCTTTTTTGTAAATTATGCCCAGCGACAAGTGTAGAAGACCCTCATATAGCAAGCAAGCAAACACTGAGAGCTATTAAGAGTGTACCTTGTGGGTGGTTGACAAATGTTGTTACCCAGAAATTCGGGATTTTGGCGATCAATTCTGACCTCTTCTGGAAGAATGGTTGGCGGAGTTTGTTGTATTTCTGTTCTACTTTCAAAATTTCCTCACTGGCTTGTTCATTCAGTCTGTAATAGAAAGAGCCATGTTAACCACAGGAGAGAGAACTGAAATTTAGAGACGCATCATAGCTAAAACCAAATGGGTCCGATTAGACTAGTTTGCCATATTTGACAAATGAGGTCTCACACAAAAAACCTGAGGCCCAAAGCTGTAACCACTAGTAAGGAGCACACTACCAGAAGCAATCTCACTGATCTTAATGAAACGTGCTTAACACATTGTGTGTTTTGCAGCATTACCTGAGGGACAGACCCTTATTCAGCAAAGCAAAGTAGTATTTTACCTCTTAAACGTTTTGTTTGCAAAAGACCTGAAGATGGCTAACATGTAACACCTGCTCTTTAGAACTTTTGTGCAGGCAAGCAAGCTACAGCAAAGCAATTCTGCACCCCACACAAGTAAAATCTGAAGCCATCACATCTAGTTGGTTTTCTAAACAGGCAAAGAACTGATAGTGCAACAGCTTCACATGGCCACAGCCTCAACAGTCACCTGCAGTCTTTGTAGGACAGCGTGTTGGCAAATACCAACACAGAACACACCAAGTCTGGCATATGAAACTAGTGTTTCAGCAACGCCTTCTAGACATCATTCTAACAAGCACATGAATATATAAAAGAAAAGCACAAAAGCTAACTTTTCAGCAAGTTTTTGGTTCTGCTTGCAAACATGAAAGGACTTATGCAAACGGCATACGCATTCATAGAAATGTATTGGTGGGGTTTTTTAAGTTATCAAAACTATCACAGTTAAAGTTTTAAACTGAAGTCCTACCTTTATAAACAATTAGACAAGAAACCAGGATACAACTTTTATTTTTTTATCATACACAAATACCTCTTATATCTAATCCAGTCAGAACACAAGTACATCTTGGCAGTGTTTAGAAAGAGTGAAGTCTACTAAGTGCTTACTCGACTATATTTTGCAAGTTACATTTTCATTTTTGCTAAAACATTTTAAAAGTGTGTTTACCTGTCTATTTCATTCTGTACTTCATCGATGTGTTCAATTGCTTCCTGTTGCTCTTTTTCTAAAAAAACAAAGAAAAAATGCATCAAAATCCCTTCATTCGCAAGTCCGACAGATCACCCGGGGGGCTTCCCTTAAGACCTGTGCTAGTCACCTACTTTAGAAGTACAAAGGTATTTCTAGTAGATGTTGTAAGTGTAACGGAGACCTTAAACCTTCAGCTACTTCCAGGGTGTATTACGGCTGAAGAGCAGAAAAGTTTGATGAAACGGCACTCAAAAACGAGTTTACGCTTAGAAACCGCAGATCACATTCCCCTACACCGTTTTACAAGTCAACTTAAATACGTCAATCACGATAGAGTAATAACAACTTAATTTAAAAGTGGTAAGCTGTATCTTCTAAGACATTTGAAAGAATGTTGAATTATTTAGAGGACAAATAACATCAATAGAAATAACGAAACTATGAATGTGCCACCTTCCAAAAAAAAAAAGATCAACCCAAAAAGAACGTTCGGAAGGATGGTGACAAGCAAATGACACCAAAATCGCCACCTGGCAGATGTTTTCTAACGTGAACTTCCCCTCGACCGAGCCTGGCAAAGGTCTGGGTCACAGGAGGACTGTTTACCTATCGGCCGGGAGATGAATGAACGGCAGCGGGAAGTGGCTGGAGCAGTGCAGCACGCTCACTCCTCCGCCGGTGAGTTTCCCGCACGGAGCAGCCCGCGCTCGGGGCCGGTTCTCCCCGCTCCCCAGCCGCCCGGCGGGATGCGCTGCCCTCTCCCCCCGACGGCGCGCCGGCCGGGTACGGAAAGCACGTGTGTGATCAACGCTCGTAGCGGGCGCAGCA